AAAAAAAGCCCCTCTATTTCTGGATTTCCAAGGGACACAGATTAGTTGGTGGCTTAGAAAAAAATTTGAGGCACTGGTGGCATACCTGTAATCTTAGCTACAACAGAAGGCTGAGATCCGAGGATTGAGGTTTGAAGCCAGCCTGGGCAGGAAAATCCTTGAGATTCTTACCTCCAATCAACCAGCAAAATGCTAGCAATGAAGCTGTGGCTCAAGTAGTAGAGTAACAGTCTACCAGCTAAGAGGCAGTGCCCAGGGCCTGCGTTTAAGGCCCAGTACTGGTACATATATAAAAGCAATTACCACTCCCCTTTTTTTTGCCTCCTCCAAAGAGAAAAGAAAAAAGGGGGAGCTGGGATTTTTTTTTTTTGGTCGGTTGTGGGGCTTGAACTCTGGGCCTGGGTGCTATCCTTCAGCTCTTCAGCTCAAGGCTAACTAACGCTCTACCACTTGTGCTTGAGCCACAGCACCACTTCCGGTTTTCTAGTGGTTTATTGGAGATGAGTCTTGCGGACTTTCCTTGCTGGCTTTGAACCATGATCCTCAGATCTCAGCCTCCTGAGTAGCTAGGATTACAGGCATGAGCCACCAGCACCCTGCTGGGATTCTTTCTTCAGGGCTGATGAAGGAGATCCTCAGGACAGAAGTCACTCATCTGCTCTGGTCCTATGCATGTCCTCAAAGATTAGCTTTGACTGGCTGTCCAAAATCTCCTTGGGAGAGATGTGGCCCACATATCTAATCTGCCCCTGAGCCTTCTATGCCACCCATGCAGTAGCTGATCCCTCATGTCTTGTGCTCTACTCTGTACCTCAGTTGTCTTATAAGTAATACAGATTTCTAATATGCTAAAATAGTATAAGCTGGGCATGGTAGTGCAATGTCTGTAACCCCAGCTACTTGGGAGGCAATGATGCTTGACTCCTAGGTGGTCCATTGTGTGCAAAGTGTGTAAGCCTGCAGCTATTGCAGTTTTGTTGCTGTAAAAGATGATGGTTCCCACTTTTGGACATTTACCCAAACGATCACAAACAAGGGTATACCAAAGCTACCAGCACAACTATGTTTATCGCAGCATTATTTACCATAGCTTAAATATGGAACCAACCCAGATGCCCCTCAGTAGATGAATGGATCAGGAAAATGTGATATATCTATATGCTGGAATTCTACGCCTCCATTAGAAAGAATGACATTATCCCATTTGTTAGGAAATGGAAAGACTTGGAAAAAATATATTAAGTGAAGTAAGCCAGGCCCAAAGAAACATGGGTCCCATGGTTTCCCTTATTTGCAATAACTCATATATGTCTAGGACAAGCAGAAAAGTTCAAAAGTTATGTATATATAACCATATAAGATGATGTTAAGCGAAATGAACCCTAAGATAGGGACACAAGAGGTTTTTTTTCTTTCTTGCTATTATTTTTAACATATTTATGATGTACTATGTGATTTTTTTTTTGTTTCTTTTGTTTCTCCCACGGTATAACCCGTTTTCACTGTATTTGATTCCAGTGCCCTGCATCTTGTATATACTTTTTTCTAATTTGGGGAGGGGAAGAGAACTAACAAAATGCTGAAATAAGGATACAGGCTGACCTACTGTAACAATGAGATGTACAAGACACTATGTTGAAAACAAACTTTAGAACTTGGTTGGGGAGGTGGGAAGGAAAGGACTATTAAGGGTAAAACAAAGGAGGAGGTAACAATGCTCGATAGGAAATGTGCACATTACCTTACTTGTGTAACTGTAGCCCCTCTGTACAGTATTTTTAAAATAAAAAACATTAAAAAAAAGATGATGGTGAGAATAACTGCACTCTGTCCTGTCTACCCTGAAGCCACTTCGGAGTGGATCCAGTTTTTTAAAGAAGCCGGCATTCCCCCGGGCCCTGCTGTGAATTACGCTGTGATGTTTGTGGATAACAGGTGAGGCAGATAAAGGGGCAAGTGAGCTTGGGGGGGGGGGGGGGGGG